TCCCCTTTAGATGGTGTGCCTGGCAATTTAAGTTATAGCACAGTCTTTCCTGTACTAAAGAGGGACACATTTCAGGGCAAAAAAGCTTACAGGAAGAGAGTTTGCATTTTCCTGTTGTCATATGGGCATGGCATTTTCTAGGGTGGTCAAAGTTGCACGTCCCATCTGTTTTTTTCCAGATTTCCCATGCCTGCAGATACCAAGTGCATAGTATGTGCACAGGCTTGGTTTCTGTTTGCCTTGGGTTTTTTTTGACTATTCCCTGTTGGTGCATGTTTTTCTGTCTCATTCCTATCCTCACTAGTACTAACAATGGAGCTCTCACCAGTTGTTTCTGGTAATGTATCCTCACTATTGCTAGTGGAGTCCCCTTGTCTGCTATCTCCTGTGGCATTACTAGTTTGTAATATTGGTTTTATCTTGTCCTTGACTACACTTGTTTCCTCACTACAGCCTCTGTCTCCCTCGAGGCCATTTATATGCATTCCCTCATGCATACATTTACTGCCTACCTGGACAGCACCACCAGCCTCACCATTTCTGTCTACCAGGACAGCACTTCCAGCCCCACAGTTACTGTCTCCCAGGACAGCACCTCCAGCTTCACCATTACTGTCTACCAGGACAGCACTTCCAGCCCCCACATTTACTGTCTACCAGGACAGCACCTCCAGCCTTACAGTTTCTGACTACATGGCCAGCACCAAGGGCGATACCATCGAGCCTAGACTTATTATTTTCCCATCTGTTATAGAATGCTTCCAGGTTTTCTATGAAGGCTGCTTTGATGTTATCCTCTTTTAATACCAAAATGATTTTAGTCCACAGACTGATCTCATTTGGGCATACCCAAAAACACTTCCCTGATTTAATACTGCTTGTAGATAATTCTTGGATATCTGCACAAGGGGCATGACACCAATTTTCACAAAAATGGCATGTAATCCATGTGGAAGCCCATTTGTTTGATTTACTGCAGACTACACAGAATTTTATAATGTGATTTCAATGGTTGATTTACTGTAATTCTACTAGTAACCCCTTGAATATTCTACTAATACCTCCTTAAAGTGAAGATCTGGCTACATATTTCTATTTCTAACTGTACTTGTATATTAGGACAAGCTTACCGCTGTACGTTTCTGCTTTATAGTTATTGTTTGTGTCTAGGGACTTCAGTTTTATAAAAGTGAAGCTCTTGCCTCCTAACACCACTCCTCTCCTCCAGCCCATGGACCAGCAGGTCATTTCTAACTTCAAAAAACTCTACACAAAAGAAGTGTTTCAAAAGTGCTTTGAAGTGACCTCCGGCACTCAGATGACCCTAAGAGAGTTCTGGAAGAATCACTTCATTATCCTCCATTGCATAAGCCTTATAGGTAAGGCTTGGGAGGGAGTGACTTCCAGGACTTTGAACTCTGCTTGGAGAAAACTGTGGCCAGATTGTGTCCAAGAGAGGGATTTTGAAGGGTTTGAGACTCACCGTGACCATGACCCTGCCAACCCTGTGGATTCTATTTTGTCTTTGGGGAAGTCCCTGGGGTTGGAGGTGAGTGGTGAGTATGTGGAAGAGTTGGTGGAGGACCACAGGGAAGATCTTACCACTGAAGAGCTTCAACTTGAACAGCAACAGACTGCAGCTGAGAAACTTGCTTCAGAGGAGGAGGAAGAGGGACTGAAGGAGGTGCCTTCTTCAGAGATTAAAGAGGTGTGTGCAATGTGGACCAGGTGCAAGCTTTTGTAGAGAAACACCACCCTGACAAAGCTGAAATAAGCCATATCTGCAATATGTTTAGTGACAAAACCCTGTCCCACTTCAGGGAAATCTTAAAGAGATGCCAGAAACAGAGCACTCTGGACAGTTATTTTTGTGAGACAGGGGTCCAGTGACTCTCAAGCTGGTCCTAGTGGCATTTAAAGACAGAGAAGGGAAATAACCCCAGAGAAGGCATTGCTACCTAAAGTCTTCATGGAGGGGGATTTCCCTTCCAAACACTAACTCCTCCCTTTTTCCTCCTCCCTATTTTCCAGAAGCCAGCATTAGCCTTCAATAAAGGTATGTAATACTTACATAATTGTAAAAAAAAAAAAAAGGATTTTTTTGTGAATATTTTTGTTTGGAACGAATTAATTTTATTCCATTAATTCTTATGGGAAATACATGTATTAATTCAGTTATCAGTCATTTCGGTTATCGGCCGACCTTCAGGAATGGATTACAGCCGATAACCGGGGGTCCACTGTATATATATACAGTACAGGTAGAAAGTTGAAAGTGAACAAAGAAAAGAGTAGGTGATGAGGGTATCAAATGATTTAGATAAAGAAAAATTGGATATCAAATTGGGGAGGAGGAGTATGGAAGAAGTAAATGCTTTCAGATATTTGGGAGTTGATGTGCCAGCGGATGGATCTATGAAGGATGAGGTTAACCATAGAATTAACGAAGGAAAAATGCGAGTGGTGTGTTGAGGTATATGTGAAGACAAAAAACGTATCTATGGAGGCAAAGAAGGGAATGTATGAAAGTACTCTAGTGGTACCAACACTGTTATATGAGTGTGAAGCTTGGGTTGTAAATGCTGCAGCGAGGAGACGGTTGGGGGCAGTAGAGATGTCCTGTCTATGGGCAATGTGTGGTGTAAATATTATGCAGAAAATTCAGAGTGTGGAAATTAGGAGAAGGTGTGGAGTTAATAAAAATTTAAGTCAGAGGGCTGAAGAGGGGTTGTTGAGGTGGTTTGGTCATTTAGAGAGAATGGATCAAAATAGAATGACATGGAGAGCGTATAAATCTGTAGGGAAAGGAAGGCAGCGTAGGGGTCGTCCTTGAAAAGGTTGGAGGGAGGGGGTAAAGGAGGTTTTGTGGGCGAGGGGCTTGGATTTCCAGCAAGCGTGCGTGAGCATGTTAGATAGGAGTGAATGGAGACGAATGGTTTTTGGGACCTGATGAGCTGTTGGAGTGTGAGCAGGGTAATATTTAGTGAAGGGTTTCAGGTAAACCGGTTATTTTTATATAGCCAGAATTGAGTTCTGGAAATGGGAAGTACAATTGCCTGCACTTTAAAGGAGGGGTTTGGGATATTGGCAGTTTGGAGGGATATGTTGTGTATCTTTATACGTATATGCTTCTAAACTGTTGTATTCTGAGCACCTCTGCAAAAACAGTGATTATGTGTGAGTGAGGTGAAAGTGTTGAATGATGATGAAAGTATTTTCTTTTTGGGGGATTTTCTTTCTTTTTGGGTCACCCTGCCTTGGTGGGAGATGGCCGACTTTTTGAAAAAAAAAAAAAAATAAATAAATACACACACAAAGTGGGAGTTGTCACAGCTGCTCTTTGCTGATGACACTGTGCTCTTGGGAGATTCTGAAGAGAAGTTGCAGAGATTGGTGGATGAATTTGGTAGGGTGTGCAAAAGAAGAAAATTAAAGGTGAATACAGGAAAGAGTAAGGTTATGAGGATAACAAAAGGATTAGGTGATGAAAGATTGAATATCAGATTGGAGGGAGAGAGTATGGAGGAGGTGAACGTATTCAGATATTTGGGAGTGGACGTGTCAGCGGATGGGTCTATGAAAGATGAGGTGAATCATAGAATTGATGAGGGAAAAAGAGTGAGTGGTGCACTTAGGAGTCTGTGGAGACAAAGAACTTTGTCCTTGGAGCAAAGAGGGGAATGTATGAGAGTATAGTTTTACCAACGCTCTTATATGGTGTGAAGCGTGGGTGATGAATGTTGCAGCGAGGAGAAGGCTGGAGGCAGTGGAGATGTCATGTCTGAGGGCAATGTGTGGTGTGAATATAATGCAGAGAATTCGTAGTTTGGAAGTTGGAGGAGGTGTGGGATTACCAAAACTGTTGTCCAGAGGGCTGAGGAAGGGTTGTTGAGGTGGTTCGGACATGTAGAGAGAATGGAGCGAAACAGAATGACTTCAAGAGTGTATCAGTCTGTAGTGGAAGGAAGGCGGGGTAGGGGTCGGCCTAGGAAGGGGTTTGGGGGGAGGGGGTAAAGGAGGTTTTTGTGTGCGAGGGGCTTGGACTTCCAGCAGGCATGCGTGAGCGTGTTTGATAGGAGTGAATGGAGACAAATGGTTTCTAATACTTGACGTGCTGTTGGAGTGTGAGCAAAGTAACATTTATGAAGGGATTCAGGGAAACCGGCAGGCCGGACTTGAGTCCTGGAGATGGGAAGTACAGTGCCTGCACTCTGAAGGAGGGGTGTTAATGTTGCAGTTTAAAAACTGTAGGGTAAAGCACCCTTCTGGCAAGACAGTGATGGAGTGAATGATGGTGAAAGTTTTTCTTTTTCGGGCCACCCTGCCTTGGTGGGAATCGGCCGGTGTGATAATAAAAAAAAAAAAAAAAATATAAATACATGTAGGTAGTAGGTTGGTAGACAGCAACCGCCCAGGGAGGTACTACCGTCCTGCCAAGCGATTGTAAAACGAAAGCCTGTAATTGTTTTAGGTGATGGTAGGATTGCTGGTGTTCTTTTTTCTGTCTCATGAATATGCAAGATTTCAGGTACGTCTTGCTACTTCTACTTACACTTAGGTCACACTACACATACATGTACAAGCGTATATATACATACCCCTCTGGGTTTTCTTCTATTTTCTTTCTAGTTCTTGTTCTTGTTTATTTCCTCTTATCTCCATGGGGAAGTGGAACAGAATTCTTCCTCCGTAAGCCATGCGTGTTGTAAGAGGCGACTAAAATGCCGGGAGCAAGGGGCTAGTAACCCCTTCTCCTGTATATATTACTAAATTTGAAAGGAGAAACTTTCATTTTTTCTTTTGGGCCACCCCGCCTTGGTGGGATACGGCCGGTGTGTTGAAAGAAAGAAGAAAGATATAAATACATATATATATTAGTGATGTACTACAGAAAATTCATTTGCCTAATACTATACTTACTGAAAGCTAAGACTAGAAAATAATAGTGACATTAATTAGGCATTCCATTTTCTAACTAGGGCAGTAGTAGTTTCAAGTGTCTAAATTGGCCTAGTTTAAAAGAAAGTGCTGCACTTACCAGTAATTTGCTTATTTACATGTTCTGTAACTAAGAGTATATCTTGTCTTTCTAAATCCATTCGAGGAACACTTCTCATTTCTGCTAGTGAGAGTTTTCGTCGACCATTTCTGTTTTCCACCTAGAAAAAGTACTTAGCAATAACAAAGCCTTCCCTAATACATATCATAAATAATTACAGTACTCACACTATATCTCCCCAATTTTTTTATATCAAACATGGAAAGGTATTTCTATCATGCTAAACAATGTTACTCATGGTAGTACTGAGGTCAATGACATCACCACAGAATTTCCAGAATGAATTCTTCATATATTATAGTCTCAACAAATTATCTGTCAACAGAAGCAGGGTAAAGCATGTCACTTAAGGCTTTTCAACCCAGTATATCTGCAACAGAAGCTATTAGTAATAAAATAGCAAATGTTTTTATTTTTCAACCTTTCAAACATATTGATGAAGAAATTTACACTTGAGCACTTGTAAAAGAAATTTGTAAACAGAAAATTATCCCCGTACTGTATGTATTATGGTTAGTCTTAACATTAAAACTGTATTTGCAAATGCTATATCATAAGGAGGAAACTATATCTGCTATGAACTATTTAAGGTTTCAGAGATTGTAAAAGGTTTCAATAGCAATGCCAAGACTACTTTACATAAAACTCACCTGTTCCCAATGGCATTTGGCAATGCTCAAAGCAAAAACATAGTGGTGGTAGTGTCTGCGCAATGATGGTACATATACTTGTGTAAGTAACACAAGCTGGGGAGCAGAAAAGTGGGATGCGCCTCCTTTAGTAATTTTTATTGCAACACTGCGAGCAATGCGGCAGATGTCTACATCCCTTGGCTGAAATATAAACAAAATTTATTCCAATGGAATATATGTGGCAGAAAACACTAACAATATTTTGCTCATTTCATCTTTCAAATCTTCAAAAATTTAGTGAATAATACATGAAAAATAGATGTACAGTATATTACTGGAGAAATGCAAATAAAGCCTATAGTTTGGCAGAATTTATTAAATTACAAATGTGACCCTCTTGCCATTACAATATTTATTGTTAACATAAGAACATAAAAAAAGAAGGAACACTGCAGCAGGCCTACTGGCCCATACGAGGCAGGTCCAAATCATCCCCGGCTTAAACCAATGACCCACCTAGTCAGGTCAGGTTACATCCACTTAAGGAAGGAGCATGGAAATCAGACCTATTAGCACAAGCTAGTCAGGTCCAACTCACACTCACCCACACCCACTTGTGTATTTATCCAACCTATTTTTAAAACTACGCAACATCTTAGCTTCTATGACAGTACGCGGGAGTTTGTTCCACTCGTTCACAACCCTATTACCAAACCAGTGCTTTCCTATATCCTTCCTGAATCTGAATTTTTCCAACTTAAAACCATTGCTTCTAGTCCTGTCTTGGCTAGATATTTTTAGCATGCTATTTACATTCCCTTTATCTATTCCTGTTTTCTATTTATATGCCTCAATCATATCATCCCCTAATTCTACACCTTTCTAGACAGTGCAGATTCAGGGCCCTCAGTCTATCCTCATAGGGAAGGTTTCTGATACATGGAATCAACCTTGTCATCCTCCTTCATAAGTTTTCCAGTCCATTTATATCCATTCTGTAATATGGTGACCAGGACTGTGCAGCATAATCTAAATGAGGCCTAACGAAAGATATACATGTATAGAGTTGAAGAACAACCTTAGAGCTCCTATTATTTATGCTCCTTGATATGAAGCCAAGAATTCTGTTCACTTTATTGCAAACACTGATGCACTGTTCTCTTGGTTTTAGATTACTGCTAACTAGAACTCCCAAATCCTTTTTGCAATCAGTAATATTAACATCTACATTATTTAGTTTATATGTGGTATGGCTATTTTCTTGTCCAATGTTTAGAACTTTTTATTTGTCTATATTAAACTGCATCTGCCACTTCTCCGACCACTGCATCAGTTTATTCAAATCTTCCTGACGTGCTCTGTCCTCATCAGAATGAATTAGGTGACCTATTTTGGTGTCATCAGCAAACTTGCTTAGGTAGCTATTTATTCTCTCATCATTGTCATTTATATAAATTGTGAACAAAGGGCCTAACACTGACCCTTGTGGAACACCACTCACGACATGCCCCCACTCTGATTTCTCCCCACTGATGCAAACTCTCTGCTGCCTATCTGTCAACCACACCTCTAGCCAGGAAAAAATTTCTTCTATTTTGTGTGCCTTAATTTTCCTCAATAGCTTCTGATGTGGAACTCTATCAAAAGCATTACTGAAGTCCATATACACAATATCATATTCATTACCATGATCTACTTCCCCAAATACCTTGGTGAAAAAGTTTATTAGATTCATAAGGGATGATAACTTAAATTTTTTGGATCAAGAATCCTTCACCAGAAATCCATTGATAAGAAACACAATATGAAAAGCAATATAGACAGGGCTTAATACACAAAGATATTCTTAAACACTATGAATCAGTCCTCACCAAAGTAATAAAGAAAGCCAAACAACTATACTACTCCCAGTAGATTCACTGACACAAGAGGAGATATAAAAAAGACCTGGAAAACACTCTCTCAGATTCTAGGGACCCACAAACTGAAAAAAAACAAGAATATTGTCCCTAACTAAACCTAATGAAACACCACTGCAACCCACCGACACAGCTAACAAGATAAACGACTTCTTCTCAACCATAGGTTCTAATCTCGCCAATAAAATCCCACGTACCAATGCCCATGCCAGGGACTACCTAGATGGGAATTTCCCAAATTCCTTCTATCTTGCTCCAACTGAGCCCACGGAAGTGTCACCGAGATTATAAAGTCACTTAAAAATAACTCAGGGAATCTGTCTCATGTCCCACCATTATTGTACAAGAGAGTGGCCCATGTCCTCTTGCATACTATCTCATTGCTTTTTAACAAGTCACTAGAAGCTAGCACCTTCCCGAAACTACTCAAGACGGCAAGGGTTACACCAATACATAAAGGTGGTGACCCTACAGATTTAAACAACTATAGGCCAATATTGAACTTACCACTGCTATCCAAAATCTTTGAGAAACTCGTGCACAGGAGACTATATTCATTTATAACGTCACAAAACATACTCAACCCCTGCCAATTTGGATTCAGGAAAAATAAAAGCACTAACGATGCAATTATAAAAATGCTAGATCTGCTTTACACAGCATTGGAAAATAAGGAATATCCACTAGGAATTTTTATTGACCTAAGAAAAGCTTTTGACACAGTAGACCACAGCATCCTACTCCACAAACTTGACCATTATGGTATAAGAGGCCATGCGCTTGCATATTTCAAATCTTACCTTACTAATAGGTATCAGTATGTCACCATTAAAGACACAGTATCAACAACACAGCCACTTGATACTGGAGTTCCGCAGGGAAGTGTCCTTGGTCCCCTGCTCTTCCTCATATACATCAATGATCTTCCAAACGTATCTCGACACCTGAACCCCATTCTCTTTGCTGACGACACGACTTATGTCATCTCTCACCCTAATCTTGCAACCCTCAACACCATTGTTAATGAGGAGCTGATCAAAATATCGACTTGGATGACAGCCAATAAACTTACGCTTAACGTTGACAAAACCTACTACATTATGTTTGGTAGCAGAGCAGGAGATGCGCAAATTAACATTAAGATCGACAACACTCTAATTACCAGGCATAATGAGAGCAAATTCCTAGGCCTATACCTCGACAACAACCTGAACTTCAGCACCCATATCCAACACATAACCAAAACAGTATCCAAAACGGTTGGGATCCTCTCCAAGAGACGATATTACGTGCCGTAAACTGCCCTTCTCACACTATACCATTCACTTATATATCCATACCTCACCTATGCTATCTGTGCTTGGGGTTCAACTGCAGTAACACACCTAAAGCCAATAATAACCCAACAAAAAGCCGCAGTAAGAATAATCACTAAATCCCATCCCTGGCAACACACCCCCCCACTCTTCATAGATCTAAACTTACTCCCTGTTCAGTACATCCACACTTACTACTGTGCAATCTACATCTACAGGACCTTAAATTCCAATACTAACCTTGACCTAAAATGCTTTCTTGATAGTTGTGACAGAACCCACAGGCACAACACCAGACACAAACATCTCTATGACATTCCCAGTGTCCGACTAAACCTTTACAAAAATTCAATGTATGTCAAAGGCCCTAAAATCTGGAACACCCTACCTGAAAATTCCAAAACTGCAGACACATTCATCACCTTCAAAACTACCATCAGAAAACATCTTATCTCCCTGATACACCCTGTCAACTAATAATACGAATACCACCTGGTGGTTCACACTTACACTCACTCACCCATTTGACCATAAACATAAATATCAATCTCAATCTCAAAATAATGAATCTTAACTAGTCATAAGTTGGCCTGTGATACTCCAATACTGAAACTACGTATAGTGCCAAAACAAAAGCATTCACATTGCTAAACTCACAACTAGTATTTAGTCACTTAGCCACAATACCAACTTATCTCATAATTTAAACCTAAGATTTAATATAAGTCTGCCCGAAATGCCTAGCCATGCTAGGCGTTCTAGTGGTACACTCTGTAATTATTATTTTACTACATGTAAACCACACAATAACCAAATTCTGTAAACTCAGCATTGTAATACTTATAGAGAATAAACTTTGAATTTGAATTTGAAGGAAGGCAAATCATCTCCTCCCCTTCCCCTTCCAAACCCTCTTTGAAGGATAACTTCCAATAACTGTGACTACACACACAGTCTTCTGTTGCACACTACAATTAGATACAGGATATAGATAATATTTTTCTTATATTTCTGAGGCTTCAATAGTTAAGTGCATTTTTATTAGTTTTAACTTTAAATAACTTAAAAGATATTACTGACAGTGACATAATAGCATGTTTAGCTCATAAATGAAAGACAATAGTTCAGTACTGGGCAAGGCAAGACACTGGACTTGTGGTATCTGGGAGTTAGTCTGTTGCAGGTTGCCTCCTGAGTACCCAGAGTAATAGCCTTATTTTTTGATGATGATGATGATGATGATGATGATGATGATGATGATGATGACTGATATTTTATTTATTATTAATTATTATTATTACAAAGTGCTATATATTATTATATTCAAAGGGAAGTTTTAACCCATATGAATCATACCGGTGTTATACATTAATTTGAATTACACTACATTCATGGAAAGTGCACTAAACCTGTGAGGGCCACAGTACCTGTGGAATGGAAGACAATCAGATTTGATACAAGCAAAAAGGAAGTCAATTAGTGGCTTTCTTTTGTGCCTAATAATTTAATACATGTAAACTATTCGTATACTGCATAAAATAAATAAAGCATATATATATCTGTATCAAGGACATCCGAGACTGAAGGAAAAGTATCCAGAAGAGAATCTTTCACCTCAGATCATGCAAAATATGCTTATTTTTCGGAAACGGGTAAATTACACGGCATGAAAGCGATATTTTAAGTATCATCTCACCCATATAGGAATTTGTGATGATGTGGTCATGTCAGTGTTGGCTCAGAATGATCAAGTAACCAGAGGAGAATCATCTCAGATCATGGAAACAGAAACATGAAAGAAATATTTCTAGCATCACCTCACCCATATAGGAGTCTGTGAGGCTGTGGTCATGTCAGTCTGGTCAGCATTATCACCTCTGGGGGAGGCTGGAGTCGTCAATAAATCCTGGGGCTGCCAGGCATCTTCAAATGTTACTTCCTTCCTGGGCAGGCACAACACTCCCTGGTTCTCACATACCAACACCTCCAGCTCCTTCCCCCCTTCTTGATGGTATATCAGAACAGAGACAACGTCGCGGATGTTGCCATCCCCAGCAGTTTGAAAGTAGGAATACCCTACACTTCCACTCATTTCCGCCGCCATCAACCTTGGATGACGATGTTCGATTTCTTAGCCAGACATTTAAATTTTACTAATACTCCTCATAACTGGCCTTCAACGGTAATATTACTCTGCTCTAAGTATTCTATCTTTACATATCTATTTCAAAGATACATCATAATTAATTTAAAATGCATATACGTGCGATAAGACATTCATCTTCCACATTTATCTAGTATATGCATTCGAAGGCAGATTAGGGCAAGTGACAGCTATAAGTATTTGTTTATGTTCCATTTTCTGTTTTAACCTTGTAAAAAATGTCAAATGAATCAGAGTAACCATACAGCATGGTGCATTTAATTTAAATAATCTAAAAAACAAAAATAAGCTAAGATAATCCCCATTAAATAATGAGTTACTAACGGAGAGTTCTATTATTAGGTATTCCTTCAAGAGGAGGCTCTTCCAGGCTGGCGGAGGGCTCTTGATCCGAGGAATTGGATCTGTGCTCCATTTCCCACTCACTCCCCAGGGCAATGTATGACCTGTACGTGAGTGTAATATATTTATGGGGTAGCACTAAACCCATAGGGGTCATATAGTGCCTGAGAGACAGGTTCGATCCAAAGAAGGGGAGAGCAGGTCCAATTCCTTGGATTAAGAGCCCTCACTGGCACATCAAAGAACATACCATTACTGTTCAATCCAAGGAAGGTCATCCTAACCTCCGTCACATCCATGAACGTAAAAGGTCATAAAATTACAGTGCAGGAAAACGTGACAAAGTGCCCTGATAAGACAGTTTAGATGTCACTCCAAACAGCCAATATCCCAAACCCCTCCTCTAAAGTGCAGACAATGTACTTCTCACCTCCAGGACTCAAGTCCGACTAACTGGTTTTCCTGTATCCCTTTACCTGGAGTTTACCTAGAGAGAGTTCCGGGGGTCAACGCCCCCGCGGCCCGGTCTGTGACCAGGCCTCCTGGTGGATCAGAGCCTGATCAACCAGGCTGTTGCTGCTGGCTGCACGCAAACCAACGTACGAGCCACAGCCCGGCTGGTCAGGAACCGACTTTAGGTGCTTGTCCAGTGCCAGCTTGAAGACTGCCATGGGTCTGTTGGTAATCCCCCTTATGTATGCTGGGAGGCAGTTGAACAGTCTCAGGCCCCTGACACTTATTGTATGGTCTCTTAACGTGCTAGTGACACCCCTGCTTTTTATTGGGGGATGTTGCATCGTCTGCCAAGTCTTTTGCTTTCGTAGTGAGTGATTTTCGTGTGCAAGTTCGGTACTAGTCCCTCTAGGATTTTCCAGGTGTATATAATCGTGTATCTCTCCCGCCTGCGTTCCAGGGAATACAGGTTCAGAAACCTCAAGCGCTCCCAGTAATTGAGGTGTTTTATCTCCGTTATGCGCGCCGTGAAGGTACTCTGTACATTTTCTAGGTCAGCAATTTCACCTGCCTTGAAAGGTGCTGTTAGTGTGCGGCAATATTCCAGCCTAGATAGAAACAAAGTGACCTGAAGAGTGTCATCATGGGCTTGGCCTCCCTAGTTTTGAAGGTTCTCATTATCCATCCTGTCATTTTTCTAGCAGATGCGATTGATACAATGTTATGGTCCTTGAAGGTGAGATCCTCCGACATGATCACTCCCAGGTCTTTGACGTTGGTGTTTCGCTCTATTTTGTGGCCAGAGTTTGTTTTGTACTCTGATGAAGATTTTAATTTCCTTGTGTTTACCATATCTGAGTAATTGAAATTTCTCATCGTTGAACTTCATATTGTTTTCTGCAGCCCACTGAAAGATTTGGTTGATGCCGCCTGGAGCTTTGCAGTGTCTCCAATGGAAGACACTGTCATGCAGATTCGGGTGTCATCTGCAAAGGAAGACACGGTGCTGTTTACCTGGAGTTTACCTGGAGAGAGTTTCGGGGGTCCGCAACGCCCCCCGCGCCCGGTCTGTGACCAGGCCTCCTGGTGGATCAGCGCCTGATCAACCAGGCTGTTGCTGCTGGCTGCACGCAACCAACGTACGAGCCACAGCCCGCTGATCAGGAACTGACTTTAGGTGCTTGTCCAGTGCCAGCTTGAAGACTGCCAGGGTCTGTTGGTAATCCCCCCCCTTATGTGTGCTGGGAGGCAGTTAACAGTCTCGGGCCCCTGAACTTATTGTATGGTCTCTTAACGTGCTAGTGACACCCTGCTTTCATTGGGGGGATGGTGCATCGTCGCCAAGCTTTTGCTTTCGTAGTGAGTGATTTTCGTGTGCAAGTTCGGTACTAGTCCCTCTAGGATTTTCCAGGTGTATATAATCATGTATCTCTCCCTCCTGCGTTCCAGGAATACAGGTTTAGAAACCTCAAGCGCTCCCAGTCGGATATGAGGATGAGGAACAAGATGGGAGCGAGTATTGTGCCTTGTGGAACAGAGCTTTTCACCGTAGCTGCCTCGGACTTTACTCTGTTGACGACTACTCTCTGTGTTCTGTTAGTGAGGAAATTATAGATCCATCGACCGACTTTTCCTGTTATTCCTTTAGCACGCATTTTGTGCGCTATTACGCCATGGTCACACTTGTCGAAGGCTTTTGCAAAATATTACCCTGCTCAACTCCAACAGCTTGTCAATCCTGAAAATCATTTGTCTCCATTCACTTCTCTCTAACACGCTCATGCATGCTTGCTGGAAGTCAAAGCCCCTACACACAAAAACCTCCTTTACCTCCTCCCTGCAACATCTCCTAAGCCGACCCCTACCCTGCCTCCCTCCACTACGGATTTATGTGCTCTCCAAGTCATCCTAATTTGCACCATCCTCTCTAAATGACCAAAAACACCTCAACAACCCTCTTTATCCCTTTGAATAATACTTTAGGTATCTCCACACTTCCTCCTAATTTCCACACTACAAATTCTCTGTATACTTACACCACACATTGCCCCTAGACACAACAGCTCCACTGTCTCCATTATTATATTATTATAATTAAAGATATGGACTAAACCTACAAGGGTCATACAGCCTCACTTGCTGCAGCATTTACAACCTATGCTTAACACCCATACAAGAGTGTTGGTATACTATACTGTCGTACATTTACTCTTTGCCTCCGTAGATAACATTGTCTCCACTCTTTTTCCTTCATTAGTTCTATGGTTAACCTCATCCTTCATGAACCTATCTGCTGACTGGAAAACTCCCAGATATCTGAACATTCACTAATTCCATGCTCCCGCCCTCCAATGTGATATCCAATTTTTCATTACCTAATATGTTTAATACCCTCATCAGCTTACTCTTACCTATGTTCACTTTCAACTTTCTTCCTTTACACACCCTCCCAAACTTGTCCACTAACCTTTGCAACTTTTCTTTAGAATCCCCCAAAAGCACAGTATCATCAGCAAAAAGTAACAGTGTCAACTCTCATTTTGTATTTGATTCCCCATAATTTCATCCCACCCCTCTCCCCAACACCCTAGCATATAATGTACTTCTTTTACAAGACCATCTATAAATATATTAGACAACCATGGTGACATTACACATCCCTGTCTAAGGACTACTTTTACTGGAAACTAATCTCCCTCTCTCCTGCACACCCTAACCTGAGCCTATCCTCATAAAAAACTCTTTACAGCATTTAATAACTTACTGTCTATTCCCTACAACACTAGCCATTTTATAGCCTTTTCCAGCTAGCCATGCTATTTTTTATATTATAATAATCATGAAGGAGCACTAAACCCATAGGATTATACAGTGTATGGGGAGGGATGGAAGGTATTCAGACTCAATTCAGTGAACTGGAGCACAGATCCAATTCCCTAGATCAAGAGCCCCTCACCTGCATCAAGGAACCTCCCTTGAGGGGGTATTATTTTTTCTTTATAAATATCTACATCTTATTTCCTTCTGGCAAAGCCTTTTTATAAGTCATTTTCACAGGATTCAGCCTGAAACCCAAGTTCCTGCAAGCACCACACTTTCTATTTAGCAATGTTGTGTAGAGCAATCATGAATAGGAATGTTTAAGTGTTTAGGTGGACCTGTCCAGTATGGGCCAGTAGGCCCTATTGCATTGCTTCTTTTTCATGTTATTGTGTGTTTCAGCCAGTGATGCAGCAAAACTTACACTAAAGTAACTGCAGTTGTCCTAATGTACTAATTGCGCTGATGCTAACAGCATTTAAATTTTTGGAGACTGTTTTCCCAGACTGTTTAAAAAATGGTCTCAAAAAATGAATATGCCATGTTCTCACAATGGTGCACACACTTTTCTAGACCATTTGGGAAAAACTGTCTTGAAAAATACACAAGGTAGACTCTCCCCAACTGCACACCCACTTTTCCAGATCGTTTGGGAAAACAGCCTCCAGAAATAAATAAAAAACAATACACAAATAACCCGCACATAGGAGAGGGAGCTTACGATGACGTTTCAGTGTGACCTGGACCATTTACAAAGTCTCCAGAAATGTGGTATGTTTACAATTTGACAAGACTGCATGCAAGATCCTCACCTCTACCACAGGATGCAGGCACTCTCAACTATATAAACTTTATACATTATTTATTTCTACTGTGTACATTTGGGGGGACCAAAGTCACAAGGCTGAAACATTTCCAATAAAATGGTTTAGAGCATTTACATTTTGTGTCTTTTTCCCCTACCTGTATCATACACTGTACTATTATTAAGTTTTAGGCCTCACAAAAAATATATGTATATTTAATATCCAGCTTTTGTTCATCCCTCCGATTATGATGCGTATTATTATACTTAGGGTAAAGCACTGAACCAGTTGTGGTCATGTGTCTATCAGATTCGATACAAGAAATGGGTAGACAGATCCAATTACTTGAATCAAAAGTTTCTCACCAACAAGGAGGAACCTTTCCTCTCTTGTAGGGCCGAGTAAGGTGTACATGGAATCTGTGACTACCAATTTCTTTTTTGGATTTTGTGTAGCTGTCTAAGCCAAAGGCAAGACAATGCAGTTATAGCTTCACTTCACATTATTTTTTATTGTGTGCGAGGGGCTTGGACTTCCAGCAAGCATGCATGAG